AACCTAACAAAATACAAATAATATTCTTTTTTTTTACAAATTTACTACATATTATTCACAAAATTAATTAGAAGCATTTATATAAGTTAATTCATCTTAACCAACCGCGAAGGTGTAAGAAGTCCATAACCACCGTAACCTTTGACCATCTGATCGCCGCCGGCGTTAATCAACCGCCGGCTTGGATTAAATGGACTACACGACCCATATCTCAACTTGCATCCGTGGGGCTCCATTTCCATAGTCTCCATCTCCGCCACCACCCTATAAAAAAGATCCACTTCACATGGAAGCAGTATCGGGCCGGGTGTATCATACCCGTATTCAACTTCCGCATCTTCCAAAAGCATCCTAAACAACGGATGATTTGTGTATTTCGTCTTCACTGACAACCACTGTTTCTCTGGTCCAACGTACACGGGAAAAAAAACCTTCCGGCGCGACCTTCTTCTTCCTAATATTGCAAAAACCTGAAACGCCAGCAGAGCTAGGAATGGATCGGCATCGCTCCCATGTCTTGATTAGGAAGTTTTTCTTTCGCAAACCACCCTTCACTGGGGACTCCATGAAAAACAACTGAGTACTAGCTAGATAACGGTATGATTTAGGAAAAGAAAGTGGTTTCTGTGTTTAATTTGTAAGTGTAGTTTTGAGTTGGAGGACGAAGCTTGAAGATTATATATATCTATATGCAAATTGATATATTGAATGTAACCTACACAGAGAAGAACTGAACTGGGTGGTAACTACTATATTATTATTATTAGTTAGCCCGCCAGGCTCCAAATTAGATTGATGAGGACTTGTTTCGTGCCTTAAATCAATTTCAAATGTGTGTACACTTCGGCGTTGGGGATGTGGCAACCGGCAAGTGGCAAATTTTTTGTAGGGTATGTATTATAATTATAGAATAGATGATTATTTCGATCGATATGTTTGTATTGTCTATTGTTCGGTTTTGAGGGATTTTAGTTTAAAAAATTCTCAAACTCAAATTAAACGAGAAAAAATTATCCAAGTTTAATAGACTTGGTAATCTATTTATGCGTGACATGTGAACGTATCAGACACGAAATTACACAACACGAATTGTAAAACGGGTCTTGGATATCAAACACGCAGGAACATGACACGTAATTAATATGTTTGACATATGACACGACACGAATAGACACATTTTAACCGTATTACACAAAAACACAGATAAACATTAATTTACACGAATTTAATTTGTATTTATATATGTCACGTGTTAACACAAATTTAATTTGTGTCTATGCGTGTTTAGACAATTAACTTTGTGTTTGACATATGTAAAAAACAAAAAACGAAATTTAAAATTTGTATAAACACGAATAAAAACGAAACAAGAATTTCTAAAATTCATACACAAAAAACTGGTATCGTGTATCAAATTGTCAAAGTTTAAATTTTAAACTATTTTGATTGAGTTTCAAACCTATTAAAAACATAAATTGAATTTCAAAATTATGTGTCGATCGGTTCCCACAAATATTATACAAATTTGACTAAATTCTTTTATTTAATGGAATTGAATAAAAAAATAATTGACAATACATCAAATTACAGATATAATTTAATACTTTATTTTAATATTTTTTTGAACAATAAATTTAACCTATTCTTATCAAATTATTCCTAATACCATATATTTTCTTTTAATGTTTAGTTAGTTAAAAAAATAGATTGAGTCATTAATGTTGATTGTTATATATCGTTACAAATTTATACTCATCGTTAAATCAATAAAAAAGAAGTAATATATTTAACTAAATAAAGATATATGATTATAAATTATATATAAACATATATTATTTTGTTCAAGATATATATCAACATATTTCAAATAGTTAATAAAAAAGAATTATATATTATCTTAAAAAATGTTAAATAAAAAAAACAGATTCCATTAAATCTTAAAATAAAAATATTTTAGCTCTTTCTTTAAAGTATTTTATAGTTTATATAAATAAATTTAATTTATATTAATATATCAATAATTTTTTTAAAATAAGAAAAAAGTATTGCTCCTTTTAGAATTAAAATCAGCCCATTGATAAATCAAGTTACCTGAGGGAAGTTTTGTTTTATAGTTTTCAGGAAAACATTTTTTTTTTTTTTTCATTTTGATGCAATATTTCATTGAAATCCCTTTTAAGTGCATTGTCGTCGATCCGGTTTAATTCATCCATGTTGAGGGTAGAAATATTTTAGAGGGTCCGTGAATTAAAAATGAGATTGGTTCTTGAGCTAAGAAGATCAAGAAAAGTTTTTTGTTTTCAAAGTTCACTTCAAAAAAGCTTTTTAATTCGATCAACTGGGGTAACTCGATTCTATTATGGAGCAAATAGGATTTAGTCTTAAATGGAGATCGTGAATTAATGGTTGTCTTACATCATTCCGTGCCTCAATTCTCGTTAATGGATCCCCTACAAAGAATTTTCAATCACTAGAAGAGTTCGCCATGGAGATCCTCTTTCCCCCTTTCTATTCATCATTGCTCTAGAAGTGTTAAATGTCGCAATGGAGGGGGCATGTGATAAATCATTATTTCGGGTTCTTAGGCTTAACAATAATGGTCCCATCATCTCTCACTTGTTTTACACCGATGATGTCATGTTCGTGGGGGAATAGGATAGTTGTAACATTAGAAATATATCTCGGATTCTTAGATGTTTTCAAATCTCATATGGGTTAAAAGTGAATTTTAATACGTCACATGTTTTCGAAACTTGTATCTCTGATGATGAAATTAATAGATGAGCTCGTCTCCTTGGTTGTATTGCTAGCTTTCCTCCCTTCAAGTACTCGGGGGTCCCACTAGGTGCGAATATGACATTAAAAAAGCATTGGAAGCCTATTGTTGAAAAGTTCCAATCTGAGATCTCGGTTTAGAAAGCTAAGACACTAACAATTGATGGTCGATTAACCCTCATAAAATATGTACTTGGAAGTCTCCTTTCGTATTATTTCAAGATTTTTAAGGTTCCATCATGTGTCATTGATTCCCTCAGAAAGTATTAAAAGAAGATTTTGACGGGGAGGTTGCGAGGACAAGTCATCGATTCATTGGGTGGCATGGTCAAAAGTTCTTGCTCCTAGAGAGGAGGGTGACTTGGGGTTGAATCTTTAAATGCACACAATTATCCCCTTCTCGCCAAATGGTTGTGGAGGCATAAATATGAAAAATGTCACTTTGGAGTAACTCAATAATCAACATTCATAACCTCAGCCAATTGACTATATTGCTATAACGTCTTCCTCTGGTGTTTGGTCCAACATCGCCAGAACCATCATCAACGTTAACGAGCTCAACTTTAATCCTAATGAAATTTTCTGTTGTAACGTCCCGATTTTCAACATAAACTTTTCATTTCTATTTATTCAAATATATCATAGTATAATTACATTATATGGAAAACATGTTACAAATGTGCATGCATACATTCAAGCCTTGTCCTTCTCACGAATCCATGAAGTACCTGAAAAACATTTATAATCATTTGGGTAAGCACGAAGCTTAGTGAGTTCCCTAAAATATCATATACCATAATACATATATTGTTTTGGTCAAAAATTAATCAAGTGTGAATCAACCAAATTATATGAGAGGTTGTGATGTTGTAATCGAAGTAAATGAGCAAATCAAGAGTAGGTGACACAAGTGGTTTACAAGGAAAGCCTTTGATCCTTGTTAGGATCTCCGACACAAAAGCTTGGGAGGTGATAATGATCACCTGCCTTGTTAGTTTGTATTAATTGAAAAATGAGTTACAGATGAAATGATGAATGTACGAGTACAATAGTTGCAGAAAGTCTAGGTGTGTTGTGAGCAAAGTACATGTATATTTACGGTCTAGTCTAAGTAACAATAAGTCTGATATTCCTGAGATCCTCTCAAATAAAAATGAACACGTTGGTTTGACTTGGTATTCCCGGGTCTTTTGCCTTATTGAAGTACTTCTTCGTTGAGAATGAGTCTCAAGTTGACTAATTTTGAACATGTGAGAAAAAGACTAAAAATATATTTGAATGTTAGGAAATAATAATAACAATGGTTAGGATCCTGAAATGTGTTCGGGATCCTGAAAGTTCTTGAAGATCCGGGATCCTGAATAGGGTTAAGGATCTTGGCCTTAACAATTACCCCCAAATTATACCTGCGAAATATCAAGGTTGATTTCAAATATTTAAATGTTTAATTTTAAAATAAGAGTAAAGATTTTAAAGTTTTAACGGATAAGGTAATTTGAATCCCAACGGATATATTTCTAGCAGTTGAAGTAAGCATAGTAATCTGTCAAATAACCCTTCTATCTTTTCATGATTCTCATATAAATAGGATGTTCAGTCTTTCGATTTTGTCTTACTCTTTGTCACACCCCCGAAACCAGACGGCGGAAACGTCCGAGGGCTCGCGTGACTTAAATTGAATATCATCGCAAT